GAGATTTGATGAAAAGGCTAACTGAGTTGACCAAATAACCTTGAGTAACCTATCGTAAGCAAAAATCGGAAATTATTCGTAAAATCTGAACTCCTACTACGTCCTAGCGGGCACTTCTATGTATAAGAAGATGCGCCGCGCCAAGCTGAGTCGTGGTAAACTTGGATTAAATATTCGTCCACTCCTGAGGCGAGATATGGCCACGCTACTGTGATGTCACATAAATCGGGCGATGCGTCGTTTTTGTAAAAATTAGAGCGGTATACATAAGGAGAGACAGCAAACAAAAATCTAACGAGCAAAAAAATAAATCATGAAAAAACCGAAGGGGAATATTGCAGGCGTCGTTCTAAATGCTGGTTGTTTCCAACTCTAAGTGCACTTTTGTCGCCGCGCATGCGTGCGCAGCTTGATCGCGCGTATCCTCCTCGATCCCGCTTGAAACAGTGTATAGTCTTCTAGGAGCTCATGTCTCACAATTTCTAGAGCTTTCAAATTGAGCGGTGAACAGTTAGAAGCTAGAGTCAGAGCTCACGTGGACTATCTGGAGCGACATGTTGCAGCTGAGATAGGCAATAACGAGGTACGTTTGACCTAATGATATATTGAAATCTTTCTGGATGGTACGTTTTCTTGCAGACTGCAAAGATGGATATGCATATTCCTATCGCTTACTGTGTTGGAAATATTATTCAAGATTTAGTGCTTGGGAAATCGTATCCGTACGGAGATCCAGAGTTTGATGGCTTGAAGCGTCTCATCGACTCGACGCTTCACGATGTAAAACACTGCTATTGATTTGGCTTACAAAAGCCACAGTGTAATTCAAGCGTGATTTATTGCACGGAGGTGTACAGAAGTCAACAGAGGACCATGTATAACATTTACGTAGTTTGGAAACTTTTAGGAAAGCTAGTTTGGAAGAAACGAAGACTTAATTCTTTAAAACGGAGTTATGGAAGTTTCGAACGTGGTTTGTCGTGATTCAAACCTTCAAGCAATTTCAGTAAAGCTTTGGAATGATAGGAGAGGGAGGCGGAGGTTGTAGTTGAAGCAACAGAGATTAAGGCAGTCTAGAGTAGCTGGAATCCTCGTTTTCACTTCTTTACATTACCGGTTAATATCTGCACTCAAAAATTCTTAATCTAAACTTGCAGTCAACTCAGAAAAGCGAATTGCATCCGGGTCCGATATTGAGCTTAGAATTGGCATTTCCTGTCATTTCTAGTGGCTCTGGCTTTTCCATTCAAGGTGGCTTTTGCCAATGTTTTCGATGAGCCTACTATCGAGAAGAATCAAATTCATCTCGAAACATGATAAAAAGTTCAAATTTTTTCTTGTGCGGGACAGGCACCTTATTAGAATATTGAGAACGAGAAATGCCTGAGCAAGGAAGTTACACTTCTTTATGCGATTTTGACATAACTGTATTCAAACTCCACTGCGCTAAGGTAAAAGCAGAGCAAATGTCCAGACGGAATCCAGGCAAATTTCAATTTCAACAAATGAGTTTTCGTGTGGCAATTGAGGCAGCGGTTATAATTAGTGTAAAGCCCTCCCGAAGCATTATAATCTCCCACTCCTGTACAGGATTTCAATTGTACCCGAAACTTTTGTGGCGGAATCCGAGCGAAAGCAATAGCAA